GCCAAAAATGCACTCTGCACTCACTCAGCAATTACAGTTGTGGGCTGAAAATACAAAACATTTTTGTGTACTGAATAGTGTAAACATTGCCCAGTTTCTCTTTTGCTAAACTAAATCAAGCTCCTTCTTTTCATCTATACAACATAAGCACTAATAGATTTAATTTAACATTAGAAAAAATAATAATAACCATGCTCGGCACTTTCTTTATAGATATTAGATGAATCTGTGCATCATAGCAAAATCCAGGAAGTACAACAGCTGAATCAGAACTGATACTGGGATGGTCTTCAGGTGTAAAGGGACACTAGTCTGAGTTAAGGTGCCCGTACACCTGACGATTATCGTACGATAATCGTGGGAAATCCCACGATCGTACGATAATCGGCAGGTGTATGGAAGGCGTGTGACCGTTTCTACTGTGCGGTCGCACGTCTTTTGTCTCACGAGCATGTTTGAAAACCCGCTGAGAATCGTATGACTTTCGGCGGGTTTGTGGCCTGCTCGTAAGACAAATGCCGCACGGGCCGGTGTGCGCAAGCGCACACTGCCTGTTCAGCATTGCAGTAATCCGCAGCCCGCCCCTCAGCGGGGCAGGCTTGCAATGATCGCAAGTACGATCTGCCTGTCCAAGATGGGCAGATGGTACGTTTTTTAATTACCTTACAACCATCGCAAGATGAAAGTCTTGCGATGGTTGTAAGGTGTATGGCCAGCTTTACATACTGTCTTGCTCAGAACTTCTGTTAGGATGTAAAGACTAATTTAAATTTCTGCAGATGGAATAATCTGATAAAGAGGTTTATGGATTTTCCAAATTGATTCAGGAATATTTCATGCAGTTTAAAGGGTGACTGATTAGCATATGGACATACATTGTATAAATAATATTGAAACAATTTTGTGTGGGTTTTAATGCATTTTTGCTACTGTCTTTTCAATACTTTTGAGTTTACCTTAGATAACCCATAATAAACTGACATACCACTAAAGCAACGTTTGGGCTATGACTGCATAGATCAGCAGCTGGTAAAATGAGAAATAAACCTTTGGTTTTCCTTAATACATCTTGGCAACATGTAAAGGATGTTTGGAATGTATAATTATGGTTGCATTTAACCAAGCAAATATTATACATGTATTAAAGTGGATATGATACATTTTTGTAACCAACCAATTAAAACCTCAAAGGAAACATATTTACTATCTAATAATGATGGTGGATCAAGTAGCACTGTGTATGGTATTTTCACTGAACTATTTAAGTCTAAAATGTGCAATACTAAACATTACGACAAGGTCAGATTATGATTTAACCAATCTCATGTACACATAAGGCATAAAAGGGAATAACTGTAATATTTACATTAAAAAAAATACAAATTTATAAAAAAGACTGTACAAACCCACCCTTTCTGCTGCTAAACTTTGCTTCAATCCTGAGGAATTTTCTGCTGAATTTTACATTGAAACCAACACTTTCTACAGTGTCAATATTCGGGGTCTCCTTCAGCTCTCAGCGGTTTCTCACTCTGACATCCATTACATGATACAGTAGTGACATTGAGGTCAGAATATGGAGCCAGTGACAGCAGCAGAGGACCAATGAGACTGAAACACTCAGAAGATTCTGTTTCCCTGCAGACTTCAGCAGAAGATCCATCAGCATTGGAAAGAGCATTGGATAGTTCAGTGGGGTGCGCACCTTGAAAGGTGAGTATGTACATATCCTGTTTTACAGGTATGACATGTTAGAAATGTCTAGACATGTGCAATTTGTTTAGTTCCAAATTGAAATTCGGATGAATTTTCAGAAATTCGTACATTCAGATGCATCCAAATTTCCGAATGATAGAAATAACGAATCCAAATTTCCGATAACAAAATTTGGGATGCATTCAAATTTTATTCTGAATGAACTTTTGTTGTTAAACATCAACTTTGAAAAAAGACCCCCAAAACTACTGGGCCATTGTTGTGGGGAAGGGGCCCTTGTCCTCATTGCCATCGGAACAAGGTGATTTCCCAGGGCTTCCCATGGCAAAGCACCCTCCCCATGTTGAGGGCGTGTGGCTTTTTTGGGGGCATTGGAGTTCCCCTTAAAATTCCTAATAGACCTAAAGGGTCTGGTATAAATTAGCCCACACAATTTTTTTGTTTGCTTCTGCAGACTGTAAAACATTTTTTTTTTCTCCAATGTCACTTTGCTGCAAGGAAAATTCGTTCTTAAATACTACCGCATCCGAAAATGACAGAAATTCAGATCCATCTGAATCCGAATCCTGAACCAAATTGAGTTTTGGGCCCGAATCTCGAAAAACAAAATGTTTATATAATGGCTGGGTTGCTTTAAAGCCAGTTACAGCCAAGCAACTATTATTTCAAAAGTTTTCAATGGCAACAGCCAAAGAACACATATAGATATACAGAGAGAGAGGACTGAGTAAAAGAACGGGAATAGTCAATATTTTGTGCAGATCAATGAAGGTAGACCAGATAACGTCTCTTTGCTGCTCCCTGGCAGCTGCAAGTATTCAGATAGGTCAAATACCTGGTCCTTCATACTGGTTCATGGAATAATTATTTTATGGCATACATAACAGACTTTGTTATAGCTTTATTGTGTACATTAGTTGATTTTGTTATTGCATACGTATGTATTCATCTGTTTTGAAAAATTACTTGGATGTTTATGAAATATCATAAGACTAAATGTTATAAGACTAATGTTACCTTATTATAATAACACTGAACAAAAAATATTTTGCTTCTTCAACATTTCTGGGTATATCTTTTGGGCTGGCTAATCACAAAAAAAGTGTAATTTAACCTATCACGTATCTTTTAAACAAATCTTTTATTTTTGTATTTTCTTGTCACAATTTAAGTTTATACATTTTTGATTTTGTTATATGCAGTGTGTAGCTCATACATGCCCAGGCAAGCATATATGGCTGGTTGCATAACACTGGGGTACTTGCACAGGCTGGGCATGCCTAGGGAAAGCTTAGGCTTAGTGTATGCTCCTGTAAGAGCTAAAGGTAGCTGGTAATGTAACAACTAGGCCTAACCCAGTTTCAGACTTTCTGTTATAGTTGTAGTATGGTTGGTGACATCAGAAAAGTCTTGCCAATGTCAAAACAGTTGTGACACATTCTGCTACATTTGTGGTGAGCATAGACTTGTTAAAAAAGTGTATGAACTCTGCTTTGGTTGTAAGATTGGTGATCAGGACAAGGCACATGCTCTTCACAATTGTTGTGCAAGATGTGCTACCGATCTGAGAGCTTGGCCCAGAGGAACTTGGAAGTCAATGCTGTTTGCTGTCCTGATGATGTGAGAAGAACAGAACATATAGCATACTGTTATTTCTGTCTGACTAATGTCTTTGGTTTCTCTGCTAAAATAAGAAATCTTGTAAGTACCCCAATTTACCTTCAGCCATGAGACCAGTGCCATATGATGACAGTCTGCCAGTTTCAAAGTCATCAGATAAATAGAGTGTTGACAAAACAGATGAAGATGCTGAACATGCCGTAATGCACCTAGATGCAACTAGATACAGACAGTGACAATGATCTTGATTTTGAATCGTTTATGTCTTCGTATGCACTGGATCTGAATGTTCTAATCAAGTGATTATCTTTTTTCCGTAGTGTATTTTTTTTTCATTGAAGCTTCACAGCAAAATCATATGTGAACCAAAAGTGATTTTTTTCTATATTACCAATGTGGAAGCATTCTTTTCAAAAAAGCTCAAAGAGAAAGTAAACTCATTGTATGACCTACTATGCATATGGAATTTGTAGCTCAAGGTATTAACCTTGACAATCAAGTGAAAAGACGTGATTAGGCTGAATAAAGGTCTTTTTAAAATGACATATGGAAAGAATTGAATTAAAGCATGAATACATCACTGAACAGTCGCTTAGGTATTGCGGAGATACATTTACAATAATATTACTAGGAAATTAGACATTAAATTGAGTAGAACAGCCAGTACAGCTTGTTTTGTTTGGACATAGCTCTTTCATTAACATACTCCACATTTCCAAAGGTTATGTAAGTCATACATTTTTATTGCAATATTAAAAACTTTTAGTTCATAATAAGCTGAATAACAAAAACATACACTGCTTAATTTTCTTTTAATGGATCAATTAACTTATGTTCAGTGCACCTAAAGTTAATATTTCAGTTTTGGGAATATGGGTTTGGTGCATTGGCCATTAGTTTCTTCCATCACCTAAAGTGAGACAATGAGTGTGCTACAGTTCTATGTCCCTCTTCCTTACCAGAGGCAGACATTTTGTAAGCCTTGTTCTCAGTGATGGATCTGTATTACTGTACAATATAGAGAATGCAGAAAGTCACTCTATGGCTTGACTTTGCAGTTTCTGTGGTGGTGGTATAAAATGGAATGTGAATGGTGAAGCCTGGAACTCTGGCATAACTATTTTGGTGCTGAAATCCCTGGAAGATGTAGGGAGGTAATATGTTATTCGCCCTCTATGCTTGTACCCATTTAACTTTTACCTAGACAAATCCAGCACTTATTCACTCACTGATGTGCATGTATGAAATGCTTGATTTAGTGCAGTATAGGCTGAAAATATTATTAAAGCTTATTTTTTAAGATATTTCCAATGCTGTTGAAATAATTTACTATCTTAGTCATCCCTCCCCCGTTCCTACCAGGCACATGTGAAAAACCACAAGTAAATCAATGTATTTATTCATTAAAAGAATATTACATGTATGTTACATAAAAAATACCTAAATCTGTCTTGATAGCATCCTCTTATAATTATCTGTGCAGCAGTACACCGATTGTGAGGCTCTATTGTAAGGCTCTATAATACAGTGTTGTATTTTATGTTTAGATTATCCAATTAATGCTTAACCTTAATTAAAGCATGCAGTGTAAACCATGGTACACATATTTACTGACTGATAATAAATGTAAAAAGAACTTATTCTTACAATGGTTTGTGTTTCAGAGCTTTTGGATTTAAACAGAACGTCAGTCTTCCAAAACCCCCATGGTGTTCTTGACCTTTGTACTATGTATTTGGATGAATATCAAGAAAGACTATTTGTGGGAGGCAAAGATTTTGTATATTCACTCAGCTTGGAAAACATCAGTGAAAAACATAAAGAGGTAACATTGAATTTTTTTCCCTGTGTTGTTCTTCCTGCCTTTTTTGTTAAGTACAGTTAAATAACTTAGTTATAAGACATCTTATATTGAGCTTTCATCCTACTAACAAGTGATTAACTATTTCTTCTATATGAAAACTAAGGCCTTATTCACACATCTGTAGAGGGCAATGCAGCATACAAAGGAGCATAATTTCTGCATGCGGAGTGACAGGTGTTTGTGTACAGCTGCGGGCAGCAATCCATACAGGAATTGATGAGTGGTCCTGGTTGCAGACAGTTTGTGTCCATGGACACATCCATCCCAGTCTCACTATAAATGCTCAGATGTACATACAGCCATGACATCTGACAGGCTGTGATTGACTTGTACAGCTGGCTGTGTGCAAACACTTGTGAATCCCAGGTGCATAAATCATGCTCCTTTATATGGCGCTCTGGGGCCACGTGAATGAGACCTAACTTTTATATTACACTTTATTACACAGACTGTATCAACGTTATACAACTATAATTATGTATGTTCACTTGGCAACAGGAACAATAATTATTGATCTCCATGTTTATGCAAACATAAACAATGTGTTTTTGGATTTTTAAGCAAAAGGTAATATGACAATACCTGTGGTTTTCCAATTCCTTGAAGAAAGTAGTAAGCATATGTATTGAAGTAAGGTAGATGCAGCTTTGGGGAGACTTGTAATAACTTAAAGCATTAAGCAGACCTAGTTTGGATTACCAATTCTGAAGTTCTAAAGTTGGCAATTCCCACCTGTATATAACCTACTGCAAAGCAGCAGGGGCATATGTAAAATGCTGAAAGTTTAAAGTCCCTTTAAGGGTTAGTTCACACCATATGCATCGCATTGCAGCCGGCTCACTTTTTTTGCCAGCTGGAGGAGGCGTGGCGGGCCATTGAAATGAATGGCAGTCTGGTCCGGTGCGATCAAAATAGTGCTTGCAGCATGTTGATCGCACAATGTGCCTTGCGATCCCGTGCGGGGCGATTGAATTGCGGCTGGAAGGCGTGACTATGGGGCCATTCACTTCAATGGCCCGCCACGTACCTCCAGCCCAGCAAAAAAGTGAGCCGGCGGGAATGCAAGGCAGTGCGATTCGTCCAGAATCGGGCCGAAACGCACTGCATATGGTGGGAATGAGGCCTTAGGAAAACAATTCTGTTGTTTAGGTTATACCATAGCAGTGGTAGTATAGTATTTACATTCTCTTTAATAGCATAGTAGGTGAGGTTCATCCAGTTCAACCTATGTGTGAGTGTGTGTCTGTGTATGTCTGTGTATGTGTATATATATATATATATACAGTATATATACTGTATATGTGTGTGTGTGTGTGTGTGTATTTAACACTTCCAATATCCTTGTATTTTTAGTGACTGAAGGAACTCATCTAGAAGTCTCTTTAACTTATCTGCGCTATCAGCGGATACCACTGCATGTGGAAGGGAATTCCATATTTTTGCTACAAAAAAAACCCTTACATGTTCTAAGATCGAACCCCCCCCTCTTCTAACCTCTTGTTGTGTCCACATTTTCTCAATACTGTTCTCGGTGAAAACAACTTGTTCCAAGTTATGTGGTCCCTATAGATGATTTTCTCTTAACCGACTCTTTTCTAAGGAGCATATGTTTAATTATTGAAGGTGGTCTTCATAGCTCAGGTCTTCTATCCATTTAATTAGTTTTGTTGCCCTTCTTTGAACTCTTTCAAGCTCTAGGACGTCCTTCTTGCGAGTTGGCGACCAAAACTGCACCGCATACTTAAGATGAGGCTGAGCTAGTGATTTAAATAGTAGTAGTATTATTCTTTTATCCCTCGTTACAATCCCTCTTTTAATGTAGGACAGTATTCTGTTTGTGTTGCTGACCACAGCTTGGCATTGCATGCTATTGCCAAATCTGCAATCTTTGAGCACTCCCAGGTCTTTCTCCATTTCCATGTCTCCGTCTTCCCTAATGCAGCCCCCCCAGATAGTAGTTTGCACACTCATTTTTTGCACTCATGCACATTACCTTGCATTTATCAACATTAAATCGCATTTGCCAATGTGTATCCAGGTCATGTTAAAGTGCACATATCTCCTGTTTGGAGTTTACTGCCCTACAAAGTTTAGTATCGTCTTTAAAAATGGAGATAGGACTATCTATCCCTATCTTTATATCGTTAATGACTAGGATAAACAAGATTGGTCCCAGGACCTACCCCTGGGGTACCCCACTCCTGACTTTTGCCCAATTAGAGGATAAACCATGTATTATTACAAATTCTTGCATGTAGTCCCTTATCATGCCTTTCGAATATTTTGCACACCATTGATGTTAAACTGACTGACCTATAGTTACCCGGTGAACTCTTTCCCCGTTTTGTATATTGGTACCATATATGCTATCCGCCAATCATCCAGTACTGTCCAGTCATTAGAGTGTCCATAAAGATTATGTACAGTGGTCTTCCTATGCCCTGGCTAAGTTCCTTTAGTACCCATGGATGTAACCCATGAGGTCCTGGGGATTTGTTTACATTCAATCTTTCTAGCCTCTGTACTACTCTGCTCTCCGACACCCATTGAGATAAGTCAAAACTTGTATTATTGGTCCTGCAGCTGGTGCCCTGGCAATTACCCATGCCCATCTCATCTGTAAAAGCAGAAGAAAATAATTTGTTTAACGCATTCACTTTCTCCCTGTCGCTGGTAGCTAACCTCCCCTCTTTGTCTATTATTGGGCCTACATGTTCTGTCCATAGACTTTTGCTATTTATATATTTAAATAATTTCTTGGGGTTCTGTTTGCTTTCTGCTGCTATCTGCTCTTTGTATTCTATGTTTGCAGTCCTGATTGCACTTTTACAATATGGTGGTAGCTTGGAGCACGTTTAACTACCTGCTGTCCGGCCGTTGTAATTAAACGGCCGGACAGTGGCTTCTTGAGGGTGGGTGGGCGTCTTTAGACGTCCTATCCTGTTCCGCTCGTGCCCGCCGCTAGGCGGCGCGCACGGGCTGGAAATCGGCTTTGAATGTAAACCAGCGATGGCTGTTTACATACAAGCGTTCGGGCATCTGTACAGCAAAACATGTGCTCCAAGATGGAGACTCTCATAGTTTAGAGTTAGGACCGCACACTAAAAAAGGTGCCTTGGCGCGGCAGTGCGGCTTATACATCCTTTGCAGAAGACGTGTATCCAAACCTCTGTCATTGTCCTTAGTGGTGAGACAAGTTGTTTTACATGCTAGTTTGTGAGTGTGCCATGATGCCTTTCTACTGTTTTACTGTTCAAAGCCCATTTCGTGTGCACCTTACTGTATAACTGGTAACAAATTGTTGAGTGCGTTTGTCGTTTGTTTTGCTTTACCGATTTGGTGCAGCGACGCATGGGGTTTCTCAGCTGCCAATGGGATGTGCGGGATCCCTTGTGTGTTTCTGTACCTTTAAGGAGGTGGGGCGTCCTCCTGACAGGCCTGCACCCAATTTGATATCTTCTGCCCCCATATGCTCCAAGATGGAGACTCTCATAGTTTAGAGTTAGGACCGCACACTAAAAATTCTACTGTTCTACGGGCATCTGTACAGACGCCCGATCGCTTGTAATATGCGGTCGGGTGTGCGCCCCCCCCCCTCTGTCCCCGCCGCTGCTGGCGATGCCGGGCTCCGCTGTTCCCGGTGTGAGCCTGGGACCAGCACAGCAGCTCTGCGGCCGGAGATCAAACTGAGCTCAGTACTTGAGCTCCGTTTGATCTCCTCCTCTTCGGAATGCAGGAAGTGATGTGTATTACATGACTTCCTGTATTCAGTGTCACTCTCCGGTACAGAAACCGGAGAGAAGGTGGTGAAGCAGGTCTCTGCTTCATCAGCTTCTCTGAGGGTCCCTACGTGACATTAGGGGTCTTAAAGAACCCTGATGTCTCCATAAAGAGGACCTGTCACTGCAAATTGGCTATCACATAGGGAGCTTGTTTGCTCCCTATGTGATAGCAATAAAGTTCAGTG